CGACTCGAAGAGCCCCAAGGGCAAGCTGCGTATTCTGTACGAGTGTGCGCCCATGGCTATGGTCTTCGAGAACGCAGGCGGCCTTGCTGTCAACTCCCGCATGGAGCGCTTGATGGAGGTTGTCCCTGAGAACATCCACGATAAGAGTGGTGTCTTCCTTGGCTCCAAGGATGAGGTCCAGAAGGTCATTGATATGTACAACAAGTACAAGAAATAAGCGCCTCGTTGAGACGTTCTTTCCTTCTTTCTGGATGCTGGTTTACCCCGGCATATTCCCTCTTAACACTATTTATTCACCTACCTGTTCATACATTTTGGATTCCCGACCTCCTCGTTGCATGTTTTCAGCGCTTTACGATACTTATACCTGCACAAGTCGGGATTAAAAATAAAAGAAATCATTAAACCATGCTGTTCTATAGTGCTACCAACTGCTTATACTCCATAGCGGATGCATAGTCCACCAGACCGGGTCGCAGAGAGACTTCCAGTTTAATCGATTTTGACACCTAAGACTCACACCATCTCTGCACTTATTCACCCCGGGTCGTGCTGGGTCGAAGCTCAATGCCCCAACGAATCAGAGCGGAGTTTAGCAATTGCTTGATGCAATTTTGGTGATAGCGTCAAAATTCACTAGGATTTAATGACTCCTCATTCGAGCGGCCGATGGCGTGCTCCAACCCAGCCCTATAATAGCCCGCAGCTTCCAAGAAAAAGATAAAGCAATCTCAACGATTTGGTCGGCGGTGTCATATACCCATACCCCAGAGGCCAATCCAGTTGCCACAGGGAGATAGATAGCCCTGGGGGTAGCTATTCAGCCATGTCTTCTCTACCCATCGATAAAGCCCCGCGCACCGTGGAAGCCGAGGAAAACCCCACGAAATCAGAAACTCCAGCCGGCTCTGAGCCCGCACGCCAGAAATGGTATGAGTGGTTTGCGCCGACAGACACGCCCGCCGAGCGACGGCTGATCCTCAAGCTCGACGGACTAATCATCGTCTTCGTCTTCCTAGCGTACTGGGCTAAGGTCTTGGATTCGTCGGCTACGAGTACAGCCTATGTGTCTGGTATGAAGGAAGATCTGAGACTTTATGGGAATCAACTGAATTATCTGCAGACGGTCTATATGTATGTCAGTTCGATGGGTTGATGGTGCCTGGGGATTGGATTGAGGATCGATGCTGACTTGGTATAGGGTTGGTTTTATCACGATGCAGATTCCTTTGACTCTGTTGGTTCGTTGTCATCTACAATGCATCGCATGGAGATACTGATTTGCTGACTACTTTTTATAGATGACCCGCTGCCCGTGAATTATTTCCTGCCTGCCGCCGATCTGTTCTGGGGAATCTTCACCCTGGCGCAGTACAAAGCCAGCAATGTCACCCAACTCTACGCTCTACGCTTCTTTGTCGGTGCCCTCGGTGGCTTCTTCTTTCCTGCTGTGCAATGGTATCTGGGCAGTTGGTACAAGCGTTCGGAACTATCTCGTCGAGGCGCGATCTTCTTCATTGCCTCTCAAGTTGGCAGCATGAGCTCGGGGTACATTCAAGCGGGAGCTTACGCCACGCTTGATGGTCGGTATGGCATTGAAGGGTGGAGATGGCTGTACATCATTTGTGAGTGTATCCCAAGTGTCCCACAAAAAGAAGAAAGGGACACAATCTAACGATATCAGGCTTTGCATGCACAATCCCAATCGCCTTCCTAGGCCTATGCGTCCTCCCCAGCACACCAGACAAATGCAACTCGCGCTTCCTCAGCGCCGATGAAGTCCGCCTCGCGCAAGAGCGCATGGCATCCGAGAACCGCGAAGCCCGCCAACCCTTTACCAAGTCGAAGGTTCTCCAAATCCTGAAAGGCTGGCGGCTGTGGGTTCTAGTCGCGTTTGCATTCTTTTTCTCACAGGCAGACGGCGTATCCGCAAACAGCGGCTTGCCTATCTGGCTTAAGGAAGAGGGATACTCGGTTGAGAGCATCAACACGATCACGACAGTCTCACCGGCAGTCACCATTATTGCGTCTGTGATCTGTGGAGTTCTCTCTGATGTATACGATGCGAAGGCTAGCTTGATTGCTGCGACTGCTGTGCTGAATATCTTTGCCTGCATTGTACTAGCTGTCTGGAATGTCCCTGTTGGACTGAAGTTCTTTGCATTCTTCCTGTCTGGCACGGCGGATGGTATTGCGGCTATTATCTATGCCTGGGCAAATGAGATTTGTGCTCATAGTGCTGAGGAGCGTGCTATTGTCATCAGTGCGATGAATACCATTGGTAATACCTTTGGGGCTTGGATCCCGCTTTTGTGAGTGTTGGTGCAACCTGTTGATGTTGAAATTTATACTGACTTTTTCTCTCTTATTTAGCGTGTGGAAGACTGTTGATGCTCCGAGGTACCTTATTGGGTATAACTGGACTATTGCCCTTGATGTGTGTATGCTAGTCATGCTGGTGGTTCTGTATCAGTTTTGGGCCCGCAAAAAGAAGCTGTCATATACATAGACGGGCATTATGCTGACAGCGGGTAAACAATAAATCGAGATAATCTAATGATCATTACTTTAATTTTGATTCCAGTTATAAGTTCAAGGTTCATTGTCAAGGTCATAGATCCCAAATGACCTCGGCTGGGCTGTTGGGGTACTTGACGTAAGCAGAACTCGCCTATGGGAAGGCTAGTCCCAATATGGACTAGCTCCGGCTGAAGGTGATTCCGCGCCGTCAGAGCTTGAAAAAAGTACAAATTTCTGTTTTCACTCTTTTCTCTTCCATCATCCTACGCTCATCTTCAGCATGGTTAATGCTTCCAATGCAAATGGAGACTGAGGTCGATTGATCTCTGGCTCAAGGCCAGACATAAACCCTCGACAAATGCTAACCAATAGCCGCCCTACAGGATCTGCAACGATGGTAAGATCATTGTCCACTCCATTTTCCCCCGACCACATCCATGCACCTCCCAACATGATGATACCTATAACCAAACAAACTAGAGTCTTTGACCCCAAGGGAATGAAACCTATGTTATTGCACGTCAGGCTGATCTCACCTCATTGCTTTGGACTATCACACAAATCTCGAGTTGGACTGAGCTAACTTGCCTTTCCAGAAATGATCGTCCAGACATATCATCGATTGCAGATACCACCCCACAACAAGCGCAGATGGTGAGTTACCTTATATATTTCTTCATTCTACCTTTACCCCATATCATGATGAACGCGATGTGTATGAAAATACGCTGGAAATTACCGTCTCAGACCTTCGGGTCGGTGATGATACAAATGGCTATTTCTGATGTTTACCCTATCTCAACATTTGCATGAAAATTCTTTTCAGACCATAAGCTAATGTTTCCAAGACCAATAGGTTACTGCGCTACTGGCTCAAATGGTAAGCCTAAAGCACCCTCCTTACAAGAATCTCTGTCCGAAGATGAAACGGCACTGGGCTCCGACGGCGTTTAAAAAAATGTCCGGTCATGATGGATGCGCCTTTTTGCGGCAGGCCTAGAAAACCTCGCCCACTGAGACATACCTTATATTCATCGACTCGTGAGATGGTTGCGTGACACAGTCACTAACCCTTTCTTGAATAGAAGCCTATTTGATTGTGCCCGATTGAGACCCTGTAACTGTAGAAGGTATGCGACTGAGTTTTGTTGTTCTTGTTGCCCTACCTTCTATGATGATACCCTTTAGATGACGAGTCTGATTCGAGTTTTCGATGCTGACACAATCTTTTTAATACCATTCATGCCTTTCTGACATTCATTCCTACACTTTTTTTCGCTCATCAAATTTCCTTGGCTAGTGCTAATGATTCTTTGAAGACAGATATTATGAACATTCAAGAACTCTATTGACTCCAATGTTGACTTCAATGTTGTGACTTGTGGGTGTATGTACACCTTGTCTCCTCCCCTTTCCGACCTTACATGATGAAACGACACAAAAAAGACAAGCATATGTCCAAGTCAGCTTGCTGGCGAAGACGATAAACTGTCATGCCTGATCAATTCACGAATCTCATGCATTGCTACAATGTCCATTCAGTACTCGATGCTGATTGAGATCGAACAGAAACAAATTGAGCGAACTAATAATTGCAGACGCCAAGGGCGATCTGTCTTACTGCTTTCTGTAAGTTTTGATAATTCTTTTTTCCTTTCCCTCATCTTCTTTTATGATGATCCACTTCAATTTATCACGACGGTCAACGTAAGGAATTTTAATTGACGACCATCGCCTGTGACAAGGCTTTATCTGAAATTTGTCTTAACACATTTTGTTTCTTGCCATCGCTTATTAGTCTTGATACTAATATCGATTTTTCAGACAGTTTCAATATGCCGGAGCCGTCGGTCTTCGTTCGGTCTCACTACACGTGGCAGAGAATATCCCGGTCTTCTTATGAAAGTCCGCAGTAGTTAAGAGTTTAATGGCAAATACCAATCACAATTCAAGAAACCTCTGATCTTTGCTGTAAAATAGCGTAGATGATCTTTTTTTGGATATATTCCCCATGTCCCCTGTAAGACACCCCTGCATACTCTCACTTTTACGGCTTTTGTTAAGATAAATCCCGTCCCATGACTCCCTCTGGTTTGTTGATTTATTGTTTTATTGCGGGGACACAGGGGACAAGGGTCGTTGGGCCTCTCATAGAGAGCGATAGGCGCCGAGCTGGGGCCTCGAATGTGATGAGAATCTCCTGAGGTGCATAAACAATCCCCGCTGCGGCCTGGCTCATTTGTTCTCGGAATCCTTCTTTCTTCTGTTCCAAATATAGATTTCCTTTATGGGTCCATCTGCTTCTGCTCGTACGGACTACTATTCCGTATGGACCTATTGTTTCCCCTCAACCTTGCCCTCTGTTGCAAATAATAGAAAATTTAGCGTCTCGCCTGTTTCGAGCCAATAGTTTTTTCTCTGTTCTGTTGGGTTATCCTCTTTCATTCCAGGCGGCCATGGCTTCGGTTCGGGCCTCCTAGATGGATGCACAGCCCAATATGAATAGGTGCGACTCATCTTATTCTCGGGCATTCTCTATATACTGATCCTCTCTAGCTGGTTGAGTTCAAATCATGCAGTCGAGCAGCCGCTGAGCAACCATTACCAGGGCTGGTCATCGACTGCGAGTCCCAGCAATCAGCCATCACCAGGTCGCCGAGAACATGCTGTACAGCCGCCATTGTTGACAACAGCACTGAGCGGTCCTCAATACCAGGGTCTTGGGGCTGGTCTTGGACTAACACCGACGCCTTTATCATCAACCTCGCTTTCGAGCCCATTTACCCACGGTCTATCGCCTGCTGTTCCATCGCCTATTAACGGCAGATCGGTTTCGTCGTCTTCGATGGCGTCCAGAAACGCGTACAATGTTCCTTATAACCCCCAGGACTGGGGCCCACCGGGCAGGCCCCAGGCGCAGGCCCCGTATCTTCAACCAGGCACTGTACATCGTGTGACGCCGCAAAGAAATAACCCGGGTGAGTCTCGATCACAGTTTATGCTTCTGCAGACTAGTGGTACCGCACGGCCCGCTTTGAATTGATATTGATCCTTCGGTAGATGTGTCGTTGTCTCCACCTCCTCCGCCATATTCACCTCCCAGCAACCAAAATCGAATGTCCCAGGACTTCTCTGGTCAGATGAATCCTAATTTTGCCGGAACGCCTTCTCCACCCGACAACAGGGAAGGCGGGTTTGACATGCCTGCCCAGTATCAAAGACGCTCAAACCGGCCACGACCATTATCTATGGCTTACCCAGCTGACTCGGGGTCTCGCCAGCCGCTCCCTCCTCCACCTCCCCCGCAGGGACATCCATCGAGTAGATCTGTTTCTCAGGGTCCAGCGGAGTACCAGGGCATGCCCTATAATGATCAAGCTACGCAATATAATGCTGCAGGCAGCCACAGGCCTCGGGTGGCACAGTACGATCAGGGCCAACCTTCAACTGGCTTTAACGGGCATATGTCTGCAGCACCAGCTCATTTCGACACACCAACTCGGGCCCCGGCATCTCGAAGAGCCGCATCTGCTGGGGCTGTGGTAAGCAGTGCGGGCTCTTCAAGGGCAACGAGTGAGTCGCGAAATCGATCGCCGTCAAATAGTAACTGGGAGCCCGGGATGCCGCTTCCGCCACCACCTCCAGGACCCCCTCCCGCCGCGAGGTCCGTTAGCGTGAGTGGCTCGTCAGAATCATCTCTGAGAACGACCCAGAGCTCGAACAGGACGACGAGGAGGGGGCCTCCCGTGCTAGGAACAGGACTGGGAAGCATCCCGCCTACGCCAGCTGACTGGATAGACGAGGGATATTTGAACAGTCGACCAACGGATAATTTATATGTTGACACGGCAAAAGCGGCCAAGGCGCCAGAGCCGAACGATGGAGATCCTCACGACTCGTCTAATCAGAGAACTCCTGGTAGTGGCGGTCTTTTCCGCAGCTCAGCAGTCCGCGATCCAAGTGCCAAGGGAATCCGTGAAAGGCGAATTGAACGACGCAATCGGCAAAGCCTGGTCCTCGAACCCCCAAGTGCGATATCGTCAAATGGTAATCCCTGGGCCGATGCCCTAGAGCAAATCAAACCGTCGAACCTGATCCTACCAGACCAGACCAATAGCCCAGATCAAGATCGGCATCCAACGTCGGGCAAGTATAGCCAAGCCCCTCTCAGTACCCGCAGCATTAAATCAGAGGGACAATATACTGGCTCCCGGCCTCGAACATCGTCCAGCGCTCTCCTTTCGGAGCAATCACCCTACGGGACTCCCAGACAGCACCCCAGCTCGGCTGGTCCCTCGGCTGTATTCGCACATACGCCTCCATTTTCGCCCAATCCAAATGGAGTGGGCTCGTCGGCATACCCCAAAGAAGCCAGCCAACCAGTACCACCAAAGGCACTACCAACTCCGCCTCTCAACTCAGCAAAAGAGGCCCGGCCACGCTCACGTTCCCGTGCACCCGGAGGAGCGGAAGACCGTCCACTCTCTCACATTCTCCACATGCCCAACGATACTGTGTCGATGATGAAACCCTTGTCGCCACGCCGAACGCCGGGACAGCAAACGGCGCAGGTGTCAATGGAATCGATCCTTCGACAAGACCCCGCTTTCCTACAGGATGCGATTCAACGACACAAGACCTTTATTGATAAAGAAGCCAGCGCCGAGGATGACGCCGAAGCACTCAAAATCTTTGCGGACTATATGCTTGCCGAATCTCAGATCCGACGCCAGCGGTACTCGAAGGCCTGGGAATCCTTCCAAGTGGAGGATGTGCGTCGCAATCTTTTCGAGTTGCCAGTCAAGCAACCACCAAAGCCTAAGCCCCAGCCAAAGCTAGATATCCCGCAAAACCGAGCGGGTCGACCGGAGTCTGCGTGGTGGAATAACTATCAGCCTTGTCTGTCGCCGATTGCCAGCCTTAACATGAGCAACGATGAGAGTTCTCGAGGCCGTGCACCGAGTCGCTGGTGGGAGTCGGCAACCGGTTCTAGCGGCGAGGGGGCCGAGAGAAGGGTTCAACGATCCAAGCGGGAGTCGAAGTACATGGGCTTGCCTAGGGAGGCCATGCATGGGGACCAGGAGTTGACTCCTTCTCAGCCCAAAGATGTGAGGATGAACTATGGGAATACGGAATATGGCTCCGATGAGTACCCGCCTGAGAAAGTCGGGTGGCATGAAGGGTCTCCTGCAAATTCCACGGGAACTGGATATCGCTGCGAAACCCGCAGATTAGATATCTCGCGGTTGATCACCCTGCCTCCGCCATATCCCCGCCATCATCCTGCTGTGAATAACAGCCATCCTGATTTGGTCACTCATCGAACTACGGTCCGGTCAATTACTGATCTCGCGGAGATCAAAACCACCAGACATCGGTATAAGGCCGACGTGGAGCGAATGCTTCAAGAGCACCAGCAACAAGTCGACGAGGGCCACCGCCACTTCAGGTCGAACATCCAAAGCCAGATCCAAGAGGGCAGTCTCACCTTCGCGGAAGCAGCCGAGGCCGAGGCAGCGATGATTGCCGAGGAGAACGAGCGAGAAAGGGCAATGGTCAAACGCCAGCTAGACACGTACCAAGAAACAGTACTCCAGCCGATGCACGCCATACTCGTCGACAGAATCAACAGGGCAACAACCTGCATCGACCAGCTGAGCAGCGAGCTCTCAGACGATGCACAGAGCGGGACACCGGATCAAACACAGGAGGAAGGCGACGAGAAGCCCGAGCTCCTAGAGAAACTGACGCAACTAAAATGGCTCTTCGAGGCCCGCGAACAGCTCCACCGCGAGTCATTCGACCTGATCAGCGACCGCGACGACAAATACAAAGCCGTCGCCCTGCTCCCGTACAAGCAAACCAAAAACGAAGACAAGCTACGAGAGACGCAAGCATTCTTCACTCAGGACGCACTCGACCGACGCGTGCAGTACGAAAACGAGGCGCTAACCCGGCTCGAGACGTTCCTGGACGTGATCGAGCAGAACGTCATGCGAGGCGTCGAGGTGCAGCTCTCCGCATTCTGGGATATTGCCCCGTCTCTCCTGGCTCTTGTGCAGCAGGCGCCTGAGGACCTGCGCGGCTTCCAGGTGCAGATCCCCGCTGATGAATACGAGGAAAATCCGAGTTACCATGAGCATCCGCTGCAGTATCTGTATACGCTGCTGTCGCATGCGGAGAAATCGAGCTACCAGTTCATTGAGTCGCAGACGAATCTGCTGTGTCTCTTGCATGAGGTGCGGTCTGCTGTTATGCGGGCTAATCAGAAGCTTGTGGAGGCGCAACGAATTAAGCGTGGGGAGCCTGAGGAGCATGTCCGGAGGGAGATGCAGGAGACTCGTGCTGATGAAGAGTTGGCCCTTACGACTGATCTTAAGGATAAGGTTGCTACGGTTGAGGGGCAGTGGACTGAGGCACTGGGGAGCCAGATTGAGGGACTGAGAGAACGGGTGAAGGAACAGCTTATGAATGAAGATGGCTGGGAGGAATTGGAACAATTGGAGGAATAGAAGAGTGGCTTTTTTGGATTTTTCTATGTACTTGCTAGCGTGATATCCCCATTCGTTCGTTATAGATCGAGTGATGCGAGGCAGTGCCTGCGACACTTGAGTTTTTCGTCTCCTTTTAGGGATTGAGGGTTGAATATACACATATTTCAACCAGCAAAAGAGGGTATATTATCCATTGCAGTAAAATATAAGGGATATAGCCCGTAATGAAGAAGAAGAATGACCTCATGCCCAGGCGATATCTGAGAAATCGCTAGCGCTATCCACAGTCACGTGCACCTTCTAGAGTCTTCCGTCCGCCTTCAAATAGCTGTCTTTCCCGTCTTTCCCCTCGACTCTCCTTTCTTTTATTTCTCCTCAGAGTCTTTGTTCTTGATGTTCAATTGATCGCAACTGTAAGTTTCCAATTGCCTTTTGCTTTTACTACATTCCCCCTTGAGTGCAATGAGAGGGTGGTTTCAACCTGCCCCTCTACACTCGGCCTCACATGAAGAGACTTCAGCTGGCACCAGTCTGAGAGATGATTCTCCATCTACTTGCGGACAACGCTTAACAAGTCCGGGAATTACGCCCCGAGACCTGACATTGGCCTTTTCCTTCCTGCAATTTTCATCGTCGAGAAGAAAGATCGTGACTAACAGGAATTTCCAACAGAACTTTTAGCACTTTTTTTTTTCTCCAAAAGATTTCTTTTTTTTATACAGGAAACCCACTTTCCAACCTCAAATCAGAGTTTTCTTTCATTTCACTAGTCAACATTCATCATGGTCCTTCACAACCCCAACAACTGGCACTGGGTCAACAAGGATGCTTCTGGCTGGGCCAAGGAGTACTTGCAAAAGAACCTAGTCGACATCAGTGTCGAGGAAGGGGGCGTGTCCGCCAAAGTAAGCAAGCTATTGTCCATGGATGGCGACGTAGATGTCAGCCAGCGCAAGGGCAAGGTCATCACTCTGTTCGATGTCAAGGTCTCGCTAGAATACTCAGGTTTGTAGTCCAATATCAATTCAGTTTATTTCAATTTCACGTTTTTTGCTCTTTCTTTTCTTTTCTTTTCTTTTGTGGACCTGGCAGCTGAGACGCTTCCATAGGTAAGACCAAGGACGACGAGGATGTCAGCGGCTCCATCAACATTCCCGAGGTAGCCCACGACACCGAGGAAGATGAGTATGTCGTATGTTCACTTGACCCATTCCCCATCGCCAAGGTGTTCTGTAATACTAACCACGTAAACCCCCGTCTACAGTTCGAGATTGAAAACCACGCCGACTCAAACTCCAAGCAGCCCGTAAAGGAACTGGTGCGCACAAAGCTCGTCGCCGAACTCCGCAAGGCCCTGTCCGGCCTCACCCCTGCCCTGATCTCCGAGCACGGCAAGGACCTCCAGCACGCCCCGGGCGTCAACCCATCCAGCGGCTTCCCCAAGGCCACCGTCCACCCGCATACCAAGTCCGATACCTCAGCCGCGCAGGCCACCACCACCTCCAAGACCGGTAAGGTCGCCGTCAACACAACCACCGTGACTGCCTCGGACGAGTTCCGCACCACAGCCGGCGAGCTCTACAACACATTCACGGACCCGCAGCGCATCACGGCGTTCACGCGCGGCGCGCCGCGCCAGTTCGAGGGCGCCAAGGTCGGCGGCAAGTTCGCTATCTTCGACGGAAACGTGACTGGCGAGTTCGTCACCCTCGATGAGCCCAAGCAGATTGTCCAGAAGTGGCGTCTTGCCCAGTGGCCCGAGGGCCACTTCAGTACACAGGAGATCAACTTCGATCAGAATGATATCGACGGTGTTACCCAGATGCGCGTTTCTTGGTCTGGCGTTCCGGTTGGCCAGGAGGATGTCACCAAGCAGAACTGGGACATGTACTATGTCCGCAGCATTAAGCAGACTTTCGGGTATGTCATTTCTCCTTTCCCTCCTTTTTTTATCACTTGTTCTTTTCTACCCATCCACCTTCTCTCTCCTGGACTATTTTGCCAATCGGGCTTCTGTCTACAGATCTCAGCGTTCCACAAAGACGTCGCAATACTGGAATCAGTTACTAATCATCCTCGTTCTTCTCTTCGGTGTAGGTTTGGCAGTATTCTCTGATCGACTACGTCTGTTACCGGTGGCATGAAAGACACGAAACAATGCATCCGTCCGAAGACTTCTTTCCTCTTTTTCTCCATGAATTGGCCACAAATAAAGATTGCAAAAAGCGCAAGCAACTAGATTATTCTGCTTTCTTTTCCAATTTCGTGTCTCTTTTCTTTTTCCGTGTCCCGCTTGCAGTTGTGTTGGGTTGGGGCACAATGATGCTATGATAAGAGGAGTGGTGTTATATCTATGATAATGAAAGATAAGTTTATGTTTTGATCTACTTGGGCTCCTTTGATAGATGGTATGATGGCTACTCTTCTATTGTCGGGCTACTGCCCTCATGGTAGCCTCGGGCCTTTGAGCACGGGGGTTTTTAGATGGCCTATTCTGAGATTTGAGTCCTGCCATTGATGGGTCTCTTCATGAAGAACGCTCCGAGGACATCTTTCCACGATCCCTGATACCGAGATAGACGGAGCCCGGCGTTCTGCCTCCAAAGAAGTCTGCTAAGAACTCGAATGCGTTCTCTCCTTTCTCAATCCTTGACACATCTTTCCTTGGACCGTGTAGATTGCTTCTGATGAGTTGGTCTACGTAAATGTGTATACATCCCGTTGGGTGGAATATAGAATAGCAATGCACACTATCATTTCATTCATTGTCTATGTCATTCCTATCTTTTTTACTAGCCGGAACTATATTCAATTTTAAATCCGACTACACCCTTACAGAGTGCGCTCAATGAGCTCCATACCGTAGTCCTCCTTCAGAGTCTTGATAAGAGGAGCACAGATGTCCCAAGTGACGGGAGCGAGAACACCCTATAACCAAGTTAGTATAGGAAACCTCCAGAGTATATAGAGTAAGGGGATATGGATAAACATACAGTCTTGCTGATAGTACCGTCGAGAACCTGCTTAACAGCAACACCGCAAGGAATACCAACGGTGCGGGCCATGGCCGAGCTGACCTCGTTACCGTACTCGCACAGGGTGGAGGTACGGGTCTCCTTGGAGCCGTCCTTGTTCTCGATCTCGAACTTGTGCTGGAGCATAACAAGGTCACGCTCGCCAGGACCGTACTGCATCTTCTGCTCGAGGGTAGCGCAGAGGGTGTCGAGGGCGTTTCCGCGGGGGATGGTCTGCTCGTCGGAGAAGAGACCGATCCAGCGGAGACCGGAGAGGAGACGATCACGCTCGTCGTTGTTAGGGAACTTGGTCTTGGATGCGATGGCCCAGTGCAGATCCTTCTCGTCGGACGAGGTCGCGCCGAGAACCTGCTTGGTGGCCTCCTTCCATGAAGTGGCCTTGTCGAAAACGCTGTTAGGAGCGTCGTTGAGGAAACCAATGTCGACCAGGACCTTGATCATCTCGGGGAAGCCCTGGTAGCGAAGGGTGCCGCGAATAACGGTCTGGGCCTCGGGGATACCGTAGCGCTCGCGGAAGGGAGTCTGGAAATATTAGTTGACTAAAATCGAAGTTTTTGAATGCATGAATGTCATACCGAATCACGGTTAGGGTAGCCGACGAAGGCGAACCCGGGGTAGATGAAGAAGGGCTTAGCGGTAGCCATCAGATCGGGTCCGTCGATGGACACGATCTTACCATCTGTATTCTGCGTTAGCACTCTTTGGTTCCTGTTAAATGTAGATAAAGAATGTACCTTGGTAGATCTTGGCAGCGTTACGAAGGGCAAGAAGCACACCGCGGCTGAGCTAGTTAGTCATTTGTTCAAGCAAAACCTCAGCATTAGACTTCTGCTAACCTAGACCACGAGAACTAGAAACAGCCATTTGTCAGTTATTTATCAAATGGGTGAAAATTGGGCCTTCGCTAACCTTGTATCCCAAGGGGTTGTTGGAGCATTCGGGGGCGGGCAAGCTGTTGTTTGTTAGCTATACCCTCTATAGAACATGGAAACGATTGGACGAACCCTCCACAGAAGGAAACAAATCCGGTAACCTTGCCGCCAGCAGCGTGGACCTCGTGAATGGTCTTGACAGCGTCTATTTCTGATAAGCATCGGTCTGTTTTAATCCATAGCATAGAAACTTACAGAGGTGATCGAGACCAGGGTCGAGACCGATCTCGTTCATGACTGTGATACCAGCCTCGCGGCACTGCTCGTCCAACTCCATCATTGCAGGGGAAACGTAGGAGGTCGTGACCACATTTGTCTGTTGTAGTGTATTAGTAAAGTGCCTGCTTCCTCTATAGAAACCATAAGTACCTTAGTACGGATAGCAGACTTGATGACGGTAGCGTGGAAAGTGTATGGGATGAGCGAGATCACAATGTCGGCTTGGTTCAGGGCAGCGTCGAGGGCGGCATCATCGTTGACATCGAGGGAGATAGCCTTGGCGTTCTTGAAGCCAGAGGCCAGGGCCTGGGCACTCTCAAGGGTACGGCAGGCTGTTACAGCATTGTCAGCGATCTTCAATGTAATGGGACTCTGTATAGATTCAATTGGACATACCGACAGTGACCTCAACATCAGCCTTGCTGAGGACCTCAACAGTGGGCTTGGTGACTACCAGAAATCAGAAATTAGCAAATGTATGACTCTGGAAGCTCGATGCGGGGCATGACGCATTTAGGTCTGGGAGACCTGGAGGAGAGATTGGGAGGCATACCGAAGCCCGAACCCAAAAGGAGGGCCTTGGAACCGGCAATTTGCTTGACCATTTTGAATTAATTGGTATGATAGATGATGTTGGGGTAGTTCAACTGGAGAACATCGCAGTCCTTCAATGTGGGACCGGTATACGGCAAGTGACTCAATGTCACGTGAACCGGTATCGGCGCGGGGTGGACATCAAAATGTTCACTTTCCACCGCCTGCTGTTTGTAGCTAACTGTTTTCATACTGAGAAGGGAGATGGTTGTTGAGAAGGACATCCATGGATCCTTGT